TTATGAGGTTTTTGAACTCAAAAAAATCTAGGGTAGATAAGCGCAACTCGACAAAAACAATCGAAACTATTTAAACGGGCACTGTGGATACCGGGACACCCACGCCATGGATCTTCGCCTAATACATTCATTGCTCAATCTTGCTCTCTCTAAGAAATGGAGGTGCGAACCAGGGTCAAGCGTGTTGATGCGATCCTGGACCCTCATTTACGACCCCCCCCTTGAAGGTACCCATCCGTACGACCCCCGCCCCTCCCCCCCCCCCCCCATCTATAACCCTTACCTCCCCTACCCACATTTCTCGCGGTAACCTGCATAAAAAAATGTCAATCTCAAAAAACACCTGCGTGAGAACTTCAGTGAGGTTTCGAAAGCAGAATTTCTAGGCCAATGGGTGCGGCCAGCATCTCTAGCACATATACACACCTTCAATAATGTTTGAGATTCTGCAAGTTTACTTTTGAATTTTCAGGCATACTTCAGGCCAGCAAATTCGATTCCCGTATGCGACACAGATTTTTACACGGAGAATAAGATGACATTCTTGAACTAAAAAAATGTTTTTGACTAAGAAGCTTACTTCCTACCTTTTCCACAGTTTTTTCCGCGAAAAAAAACCGCTTGCGCGTCGTCCAGAACGACGTCAAAAACGTGCATGAGCACTGAAGTTTGAAAATTCGTAACTAAGGCCAGGAAAAGACTGAGAGGCTGTAAAAAACAGATTCTGTAGCATAATGGTCAGACTATTCATAGAAAAAGTTTCAGCCCTTGAGGAGCAGTGAGTTCGAAAAAACTTTGATCAGGCTCTCGCAAATTTAGATGCGATCCTAAAAAGCAAAAACTGGGGCTTTTGAGCTCAAAATTTTGTAACTTACCAGAGAAGTTATAAAACTGCCTGAAATTCTTATGGTAAAAACTAGGGGATGGCCTCGTATTACGGCAAGTTTGCAGCTAACAAGCTTCAATAGCACCGGAGAAATTTAGATCAGGCGCATATACGACCCCCCTTTTCTCATTTTTTGCTACCATACATAAAATCATAAGAAAATCCGCAGTTCATAAAATAACACCAGATTTCGCACAGCAGTAGCAGGGCTTATCTAAAGTACATATAAATTGTAAGGGCCGCATAAATGGCATTACAAAAAGATTTACGAATTATTGATTGTCATCGTTGATCTACATGTGCGCTTTTGTCGAGTGTGCGAGTCTTCAGTGAGCCTTCGGAAGCAGGATGTCTACACCAATCGGTACATCCAACATCTCTATCACACATACATGCCTTCAGTAGCATTTGAGCTTCTGAAAGTGTTTATTTTTGGATTTTAGTCATGCCAGCAGGGTTCGATTCCCGTTTGAGACAATATTTTGCGGGAGAAATAGCGATGCCCATAAAAAAAGAAATAATTCATAATCTTTCAAAAGTGCAGCAAATGAAGCAAATTTATACGCTTGCAAATGTTTTCAAATTATTGTTCACTCGTTTTTATTTGATACATTGGTACACGGCATTCCATAAATTTATTGTTAAGAACATGTAATAATTACTTGCTATTTGAATTGCTTTCAATCGTATGGTTTTTTATCCAAACTACCCCCTCTTACGACCCCCCCCTCACCGTAGGCCCCCTTTACGAACCCCCGTTGCGACAGTCGCATCACACGCTTGACCCTGGTGCGAACTGGTAATTTCGCTTAGATTCTGCGTTTATTAACCGTTCCATAACATATACAATTCGGAAGTGCGTGGCGGATATGAAAGCAAACTTGATTTCAGCGTTTAGTGCTTCCCAAAATGTCCACGTTCCACTGTCGCCTAATCTCGGCATACTGTGAATGCTTGTTGGGCTTGTTTAGCTGCACACCAGGAATGGTATAGTTTTTAGTTGACTAAAATTGCAGATTTTGAAGAAGGAGATAGCGCCGCAACGTTATTTCGAATAAAGGAAACACCATTCCAGGTGCGGAGCCAAACAAGCCACAAGGAGCTTTCCAGAATGACACAAAGTCATTCAATAAGCACTACTTTGACTATAAGCATTTTCCTTGTGAGTCTCAGTGCACTTGCTGATTCCGAAATTTAGAAGTAAATAATAAAGGGTTTAAAAACTGTGCGCACTGCAGATTTAGAAGGCATGTAATTTAGCGGCCGTATGAATGTTTGTCTTCGTTGTCCATCTTATATATAAAGCTGAATGTGTGTTTGTATGTCTGTATGTCTGTACGTATGTGCGGAATAGAAATTTCCATTTCTGAACTGATCGGGACCAAACTTGGCACACATACACTTCGGGGCGGGGAGCGTGTCATAGGCTACTTTTCGTATCGATCGATATCGATTCTATCGATTTTTTGCAAAATTTGAGCTACAGGGCTGGGAGTTGGCACAGGGGGGTAATCGAGCATGCTGATTACAAATATATTATTGACGGGCCCGGGCGGAGCCGGGTTTGCCAACTAGTATTCGATAAAGAGCGCGCCTCATGCAATTCTAGATGTCTAAACCTTCTTTTTCTGTCTCTGTTATAAAAGTTCTTATACCCTGACAAGCAAACATAATGGATGGCAAAACCTTGCCATACAAGCTGAGATTTTCACTGTTTCATGTAATCTTCTGGGGATCCCCAGGATGTTCACCCCTTCTTTTCAAAGGCGTTTATCTTTCCAGGAAGTTCACGAAAACTTCGTAGAGTTCCTAAGGATTTACTATGACATTGCTAGAGATGATTTTGACAGAACAAATGGATTGTGCAGGTTGTGAGTAGTTCGATGCCTCGCTCTCAAACAGCTGTTTGTCGAAGATATACTGAGATCTCACTGATTTCTCCATGAACATGTTTTAATGCCATAGTATCTTTGATACAAGTTTGTAGCTTTTTCTTTGAGTTATAAAGATAAATGACTTTGCAAATGTGAGATGACCTTGGGGATTCCGATCCCTCAGACACGAAAAGGTGAAGAACTCAGTTTTCTAAGTTTTACTCATGTATTAGGGCATGTGAGCCCTCATAAGATAGATAGAATGAGAATAACGCATAAACTTAGAATGACGAGATATGATGTCCCTTTTCATGTCAAATCCCCTCACCTCCCTCGCGGAATATGTGCATACGGGTCTTAGACTATTATCAAATTCGGGCTAAGTATTTATGCAAATAACTTTGATTGCTTTGTGCCGTACAGGTTTTTTTTATAGTATTAGGCTTTTTGCCTTACCCTTTTTTTGCCTACACGACGTCTTCAGAGGCCTTAAAGGTGTCAGTCACAACGATGTCCGCTCTTGAACGCCAAAAACCTCTTCCCATTTGCCTACTTGATTCATCTAGTGAAAGAAAGAGATGGAGCTATGACTTGCACTCACCAGTGTAACCGATATTGCAGTTTGCAACTGCTCTGCAGCCCGTTCGACGTAGCGACACAAGGATGAGCAGTGTGCTGTCACATAACTGCTTATATACGCTCAGACTCTGGAATATACGGCTTAAGATCAGCGGGAATGGATAACAGTTCATTCTTGCTTTCATTTGGGGATCATAAGAATATAAGATGCTTTCAAAGCCTTTCGCGCGCTATTTGACTTTCGTATGCTAGTACTGGTGCACCTTTTATCCAATCCGTACCTTCACTTAGTGGTCTCATACTCTGTTTCCTCAACCAGTTAGATGTCCATTCAGACCTACGCTCAGTGGTCGGCCGGTCTCACCAATGTAACTGGCAGAGCATTTCAAACAATGAATTTCGTAAAACACCACATTTTGTGCAATCTCCGATCTTTTTGGGCAGATCGCGCAATCTCGTGAGTTACAAGTTTTGTCTGTAGTCTATACCGGACTAGTTGTTTCTTGAGTTCCTTCATACTACGCCGCAGGACGCGGCGTGCGCGGCACGCGCCGCAGGAATCGCTCTGAAAATATATGTTTATTGCAACGCCTTTTCGCTGGTTATGTATGTATGAACGTGAACATGCAGGCGATATAGAAATACATACATAAATAGCGAGAGGTGTTGCGATAAAAGACAATAAGGCAATAAAGTGTATTACCAAAAAACCTGTACGCAATAACCTGTAACAATTACTGAAGTTGTCTTTCACATGCCCAAAGCTTCGAGATAAAAGTTCTTTTTAGTTATAGTCTGCGTCAATGCGAAGTAGTTTTTTCTACATGCCTGAATCGGCGGGTCCGCTTTGCAAGGTCTCGCTCCACGTAAGAGCGTATTGATTTGATATGACGCGCCCTAATAGGTGGCGAGAGCCTGGCAGGGGTGGTGAGCGAATTTAGGCATAAGGGAGAAAAATCATACGTGCGCAGTGTAGTATTTATCAAGCGATAGAACTCGCCACATCCATAGCATTTATCGCAGGTTAACTCCTTACTAAAATTGCGCTTGAGCTATGAAGCCGAGCTATCCTCGCCCTTCTGATATAGCGAACGACAACGTAGCGAACGTCGCCCGGACAGAAATCCGGAAAGCATTGTTTGGCCAGTCCCATAATAGAACTAGTCAAACTCAGGCGCTAGTTCATTTACAGAACTCCCTTTTTTCGTTCCTTCCAAATCTTAATGACCAAATCTGGCGGAGAAGTATTGAAAACTCCGTATAACAGGTAAAATTCTGTGGCTTAGTGGGTAGCAGGCTTCCCATCTTCACCAAACCTTAGCTTTTCGCGTTGGTAAATTTGCGGCAGTCCAGAAAATAAAGATACATTGACTTAGTAGCCACTGATGCCCTACGCTATTGTATAAAGTTGCACACATTTTTAACTCTCCGATTATAAGAGTAACTCACGCATCTATGACGTTGAATGAATTATGTATTTAAGACCCAGTTGGCCGCCCAGACAATCAAAGAGGAGCGTTTCTTTGGACCCAAAAATTGAATTCGTTTTTTGACTTCATACACCCGACCAAACGCAAGCTCTTCAAACTTTATGCTATTTTCCACTATTCTAAACGAGTGAGTATATGTCAGGAATAAAAATAGTAATGCGTCAACTTCAGATGTCCAATCACTGCAGCATAAAAAATGGAATATTCTCATGTTCTTGTAATACCGAATTGTGCTCAAGCGACCACAATTATCTCATGGTACATTTCAAAACTTCTAATCGATAAACATTGCCTTTATTCAGAAATTATGGAAGAGATCTCCGCAGTATTCAGCGAATAATAAGTACACAATTTGTTTGCAGAAATTGATAGAAAAAGGTGAGATAATAACTCATAATAGCAATACAGTGCCAATAATGCGATCGTGACTAAAGTGCTCATTCACGGCAAGTCAATTGGACACTTTCGAGAACTAATCTTTGCCCAGAGATATGGAGATTGCTTGTTCATTATGTGATACATGCTGATCAAACGTATGTATCTGACAATAGCCAATACGAAACAAGAATGAATTGATATGTAAATGAATCGATAATAATAATGATGATGATAATATGTAATGATCATCGAATACTATTCCATTTATACAGCCTAATAGACTTGATTTGACAACATTTGTCCTCAAACAGTGGCAATGTGCGCTTATGGCCATCCATCACACAACTGCAGCAGTTGTTTCCGCGATGATGTTCGCCACTAACCTAAATATGAGCACATATATCATCGGCTCACAGGTTCGGGTAAAGCTTCAGTTCAAACCAAGGCGGTTTTGAAAGCAATGCTATAATGTGGAAGTTTGACAAGGTTATCCTCGTAATCATGAAAAGTTCGTAACCCACCTCCACACGAATGTGGGAACCGATCATAAGTTTTGCAGCGGTTTATGCCAACTTGACTTCACGTTTGCAAACTTCAAAAAATGCTATATAAAGAGAAAAAACGCAATCTTTTCACCTACGCACACGTAACGCTTCAAAATTTCGCTTTTATGCCAATAAAGTTTTGGCACTTCAATAACTAACGGTTGCGTTTAAATACTACCGGGTGTCTCAAATGTATGTAACCTTTGATTCAACTGGCTTGGCACCATTAGAGCGGGGTTTTGTGATCTAATTGAGGCCGCTCGTGCCCGCGACGCACCTGCGTCTCTCTCGCGCGAGTGCTCTCTGATCATTACCTAGCCTTAATTAGGTCACGAAGCCCCGCCTTTGCTGATGCCAAACCAGTTGAATCAAACGGTATACATTGTTTGATCGTTAATATCTCTTTTTTCAAAAAGTTCTTTTGCCTACCTTTAGATACTTAGATTTACTCTTTGGAGCGAGTCACCGATCGCTCTTCACTATTGTAGGATTACGGCAGAAACTTTCAGTTTACAGTCATTGTGGATTGACCGTGTTCCAAAGAAAGCTTGCGAAAAATCTGAAAAGTAGTGTACTAGGGTTTTCACGCTCGCTGATTTTATTACTAAAATTTTTACGAGTGTGCAAGGCTTTCCAATGGTGTTTTTACGATTTTAAGAAGCATTGTGAAAACAGCTATTGCGGTTTATTTAACATAATTTATGAACGAAGCATTATGATAAAGTGCAAACATCGTTTTTGGTTTTAGTGGGTTGAGTCGACCTAGTATAAATTTCAGGTTGTTTTGTTTGCCTTCTGAGGCTGAGGCGGTTCGGGGCCCCTAATGGCTTAAACCCCTTCTTGAAGTTTCTACCGTAATCCTGCAATAATGAAGAGCGATCGGTGATTCGCTCCACACTACATATCTAAGTTGAGCCTCGCTTTACAAAATGGTGCCTGGAGGTAGGCAAAAGACTTCTTTAGAAAAGAGATACCAACGATCAAACAGTGTATACATACTTCTGGGACACCCTGTATATTGGAACTTGTTTTTGTACATTTTATGCTTACCTAGACCAGCGCAATATGTGGTCAGTATGTTAGCTTCGCACTAACAACATAATCTTATGGAGAAATGCAATTAGATTTATGCAACAGTCTTGAAATAGCCGCGCAGTGCAAGACCTGAGAAACCTGACACTATCAAGCTCGTCACTAGATTGTACCATGCTACAAAAAATATTCGATAAAAGGTCTCTTGCTGCAAAAGAAGTATTGGCATTTTTGCTCTCAAAGGCAGGTCCCGGCAAAGTTATGAGCGTCAATCTTTTGTAACGATAATAATGATATAGTAGGTCCTCTACCTAAGCGACGATTGAAGTACGGAGGAAAAAAAGGTATTCATTAAGCCTAAAATTCCCTCCTCGAAAAGTGGCCCAGATCTTATGATCTAAAATTCGAACTGCTAGAGCCCCGCTCTAGCAGTTACAAGGCTATTGCGCGCGTAGCACAGCTAAGATCGCAAAATCCCTTGACGACTTTACGTCTTACCTTAGCGGGCAGCGGGTCCTCACGCCCAGTTCAAATTGTGGGCTTCGCGAAAAGCCGGGATTGTCTCGCTCTGGCAGCTGCACAATTGAAATCAGCAGGACCAGCCCAGCTAAGCGTAAAACCTTGAAAAATATGTTTCGCTGAAAAGCTGCCTTCAGCGGTTGAGCATTAGAGGACAATTATGAAATTTGCTTTCGAAGAAGACTTTTTATTGTACAGCCTTCTTTTTACGTTCACGCCAAAAGCATCTCTCTGTAAATTGGCAAACTGAGTAATTCACCGACTAATTAACCAATTCATATGACCACTATTTCCGATTCCGCGGACTTAAATTAGCATCTTTTAATACTATAGAAATTGCAGAGAACCATTATAAGACTCATTTGTATTTTCAGATCTTGAGAATGATTATGATTATTATGTGGCCGAGGAAAGAAAGGCACACGAAAGGATCAAAGGTAATCTCTTACCGTGACGTGATGACTAAGCCTAAACTTTCTAAATAACCAAGGATAGCTTTCATCATGAACTACTTCGTAACTAACGTCTTGCGAGGGAAGATTACTTGATGGTCATGGCCATTTGTAGTGAGACACATATCACTATAAGCGTCTAAAATGCTAAAAATTTGCCTTCGCTGTTTGCTAAGCAGTCGTTTAAATTAAATTGTGAGCTTTTTACGCAAAATGTTTGCATACTAAAGCATAGTCAGAAATCAATATCTGAGTTTTCAAGGGTGGACGCAACTGAGACAGATTATCCGAGCTTGAAGTAATTGCGCTTTTCTTCAAGTGTTGGGAGAGTGAAACGAGTGAAACGTTGAGAGATGTACATAGTTTTGCTTTACCAGAACAGTGTAGATTCATGTGGAAAAAAACTATCATAATTTATCTCAGACAGCCCTAGCAAGCGAAAGTGCTTTTGGAATCAGCGTTTCAAGACGAATCGATATTTGTTTCATTACGGATGGCCACAGTCATTAAGCATCCGCCCCCCCCCCCCCGCTGGATCCAGTGTCCAGGCAAATGCCCGCATTTTCATAGGACTTCGAAAAATCATGACGATGGCGCGCACACGTACGCACCTTTCGGCAACCGCATTTTCTTGGTAATCCCTACTTGACTTTTTTCTACTTAGGTATGATAGCGCTGGAACTGATTGAGAAACGTTGTGGTGATGCCTCTTTGTATGAGAGTGCATTATGCTCCTGTGGGCAGTTGAATCCGTCGTCACGATTTTATAAATGAACCTTACTTTAGGCGGCTGACTGTTCTGGCGCGATTCAAATGTAAAGAAGGCAAAGACGAAGGGTGGCCAACTCAAAACGCATCTTTTGATATGTCTGTATACACTAGCTGCGCGGTATATATATATATATATATATATATATATATATATATACAGGATGTCCCAAAAAAATGTATCGAACGTTTGATTGTTAATATCTCTCTTCTAAAGAATTCATTTCCCTTGCTTCAGGTTCCAATCTGTAGAGCTGGCTTCAACTTAGATTTGCATTATAGAACGAATCACTCATCCCTCTTCATTACTGTAGGATTACGGTAAAAACTTCAAAGAGGTTTTTAAGCAAAAGACCATATTTTGCTCCAGAAAGGAAACAAAACAGCCCGAAAACTTTTACACTAGGCTAATTAGAGTTGCTGATTATAACTGTAAAGTTCCCAATTTATTATGATGCTTCATTGAAGAGTTATGCCACGTAAGAGGTAGCGGCCATTTTTTCAATGTTTCTAGAAAGTGCGGTTACACCCTTTAGAAAGCTTCGTAATCTTGTGAGTAGTTGAGTATTGAACTCAGCGTCCATAAAAATCCTGTTACACAAGTTTTCACATTTTTTTGAAAATTTTTGAAACGGCAGCTTTTTCCACATTGACACCATATGTTTCAAGTTTCTACCGTAATCCTACAGTAATGAAGAAAGATGGGTGATTCGTTCTATAATGCAAATCTAAGTTGAAGCCAGCTCTACAAAACGGTACCTGAAGCAAGGCAAAAGACTTCTTGGGAAGAGAGATATTAACGATCAAACGTTCGATACATACTTTTGGGACACCCTGTATATCATGACTTATAATAAGCGGCTTAATCTGAAGTTGTGTGGAGTTTGTCCGTTACGAAATTAGAGTGAGGAATGATTTACGATACTAACATCATGTGAGGTTAAGATAGCGAGTATGGTTCATTCTTAACTACGGCTCATTCATGACTTATAATAAGCGGCTTAATCTGAAGTTGTGTGGAGTTTGTCCGTTACGAAATTAGAGTGAGGAATGATTTACGATACTAACATCATGTGAGGTTAAGATAGCGAATATGGTTCATTCTTAACTACGGCTCATGTTGCAATAAACCGAACAATGATCTGAGAGACAAGCTCTCAGAAAGTGAGTTTACACGGTTCACGATGCCAGTGCGAACCTCTGCGAAGCAGAGGTGAAGCACTGGTATATATATAGCCAGGTTCCGCTATAGCTGATACGTACAGGGTGGCCAGAACTATTGGCGCGTGTATTCTGCAACGCAAAACTCGTGCAAGACGAGATCAGCGGTAGGTAAAAAGCTATTTTGTCTCAATAATGTTTTATCATCAAGAGGGTACCATGATTTGAAATTTCCGAGTATGGCTACAGAAAAATCGCAAAATATCTTGCTGACTAAGTTGCGCTTAACAAGGTGTTTTTTCAGTGGCTCTGCCTCTTTAAAAAAATGCTCCCGTGATGCTAGGAAAGTGCCACATGATAGGGCAAGTTTTTGGCTGCAACATTATAAGAGCAAGGATCTAGGATCTTTTTTGGATTTTTAGAATTTTAGGATCTGGCAGGAAAATTACCGGCATTCAATCAAAGGCCTGTGTTTGCCATATGCTCAGAAACCACATATTTTAAGGGTACGAATGAGCGAAATAAAAGCAGAAAACTGACCCTAAAACAAATTAAAGATCGATTCCATCGATGGAAAAAAATGAATATTTACTAGGAGTTTTGTGAATATTACAGCCTTAAATCCGGTGACAACTACGTTTCTATAGCTTACAAATATGATTTGAAGACAAAACGGCCACTGAGACGCAGGTGGCATTTGCGAACTTTTTGTTGTCATTTTTGGAGAAGTATTTGTTGGCAAGCAAGTAGCACAATTGATAGCTCAAAGCCTCTTCTACATTGTGGACACCTTTGAAATGTCTTAAGGATTTCCAGCTACGGTACGAAATGTAAACATCAGAAAATTGAATTGCGCTCTTCAAAAGTGCTAGTTTGACAAATCCATTTTCGTATACGTATGGCAATCACCTTGGGCTCATAAAACGATATTTTGTAGATGATTGCATTATTCTGTCGCATGAATTTTGAGATCAAAAAATAGTACCCTTGCTGCACTTCTGCAAAGTTGACGCAAATAATTTTGGCGCACCCTGTAGGTGTTGTAATCAGCACATTGAGTAACTCATCATATAGAAAGTCTGACAAGAACCATCGGAATGACTGCTTGTTGGCAACTAACGGAGTACAGAACTTGCAGAAGATGAGCCACTTGAATAATGGTCAACTTTTTCATCTCGGTGCATATTAGACGCAATCGTGGCCCGTAGTAAGCTCTCCCTGCGTCGTGATGTAAGGCCCGAAGCCTGCTGTGAGATACGCGCGATTTACCTGCGCAGAGGCAGGCGGGCACGGCGGCTACCATTTGTCATTGTTGCAAAGTGTAATTAATGAGGATCGCAAAAGTACTCATTTCCTACCACGACCCGTCGCTATTTATCGCAAGCTCGTCACCACAAACTATCGCGGAAACAAAATACTGTTTTCGGCATGGTGACCACAGTCGTGGTACGAGACTGGAGCTCGACTACGCTAATCTCGTGATAGGTCGCAATGCACGCAGTGTTCTGTGACGCACGTCCAGTGCAATCAGTATCAACAGTTGATAAGCGCCCAACTGTCCAAGCGTGTACTTCTCCCCATTTTGTAGGTGTTTCGGCCACTGCACGCGCTGTTGTTCAGAAAAGGTGAGTTTGTTTCAAATGAAAGATTTACTACGCCAACACTCATATTAATTCGTGCTTAAGCTAATATTCTTTTTTATTTGGAGCATCTCAAAACGCATCGAATTTCTTCTTCGTGCCAAGTTCCCCAAATTCTTGATCTTTTCAATCTTAGCAGTTTTGATTATATTTTTGCGCCGCATCGCGTGGAATTTGAACCCGCCATCTTTAGCACGCCGACGTCTGTCACCGGCGTTGCACTACCTAAGCAATATGTTGGCCTACCTTATATTGTGATTCCGCAGAATTAGCAACGGTAGTAACTATCACATACTAATAGTTTGCAAATCGACATATTGCGGGGAAAAATGCACATTGTTTGCCCACTAATTTTGCAGCAACCTCCGTGTTCGCTAGGCGCATTCTTCCTCTTCTGGTAAACCACGTTACTCCAAGGCGTGTAGCTTAATGGGTATGCGCGCTTTGTCATCCCAGTCCTTAGCGCTCGATAACGCGGATAGGCGGCAGTCTTACGGCTCTCTGTAGCTCGCTATATTCTTGCGAAATGTTTCGACCTGTCATGACAGATTCTTTCCATATAGTGAGAACCATATGTGATTTACGAGCCCATATATTGCGTGGCCAGTAATGCGCAAGTCGACGTGGTGAGATCGCTAATGATTTACCATCCAAATCCTGGATTTATAACTATCAAAAAATTGATTATGGAAACAATGAATGAATAATGATTTACTTTGAAGGAAAGATGTCGGAAGACGACGATCGCGATAACCTAGGAGAAACTGAAGAGCAACAACCAAAACGACGAGAGAAACTGGCATCTGGCTACGTATGGTAAGTAACTATTGCTTTTCTACTTCTCTATCAAGCTTCCTTTTCAGTGCCGTTATCCTTGCGGTTGTTTTGGCGCATGCTGTATTTTGAGGCAATCAATAACCTGCTTGTGTACAACGACTTCGATAACAGTGAAAACAATATGTGAACGAAACAATTCATAAATTGAAAATTGCCCGTTTCACTGATAAAAATACAAACAGTGCGCTAGCACATACTACTCGAACACATTGCCATTGAGAAATTTGAGCCTTATATCAACTTGAACTCCCGCTATGGCTGCCTCGTCGCGGCGTGGAGCTGGTATTAGGCGTCGAACTGCAATTAGCCGAGTGTATACTCTGGTAGGGTCTCAAAGTTAAGGTTTGACATTTCCAGGATAAAGGATATGGGAATATATCCAATATTGATAATCCTCTTTTACAAAAAGAAACACATCCGTACTATAGTTTAAAAATAACTAAAGACAGAATACGTAGCCAATACAGGCATAAAAATAAAAATAAAGAAACGCTAAATTCATTCTTGAATACTATTAATAGTAAAAGCACACTACAAGATTTATTTCAATATATCCATTCATTGAAAAAATGTTTCATAAAACAAGTAATTACAGCATGTTTTGATCCCACATTTCTAATGAAAATTGAACAAAATATAAAAATAACTGTTCTTAGTATACTTTGCAAATTCATGTTCAGTTGCAACAAAAAAGAAAAACAAAATATTAATTATAACAATATCAACGTTGAATATATCCATAATATACTAGACGAAATTAACCTTAATAAAATTATTAATAATAATTACATAAAAAACATTCTCAAAAATAGAAAAATAAATTACAATCCATGCAGACTTGTATATAAATACAAAAATCCAATTTCTATGCAAATTTTTAATTACAATTCCATTCTTGCTAAACTTGATACAAACGAAATAAATCAAATTCTCACTCAAAAATGTAAATGTAAAGAATTACAGATGACACAATATATTGATAACAATCATGGACATATCATTACTGGAAACCTTGAAATAATTGAAGACAAACATTTAAGATCCATAATGAAAAAAGGTACTAAATACAGGATACCTAACCACGCCAGTAAAAAAGAAATAATAGATTGGATCCAGTCAACGGTTCAACTCATTATGAATACTTACATCAAAAAATACAAACTTAAACTTGAAGAGCTTAAAAACATAGAAACTTTTCTTTTAAAAAAATTAAAACTTAGATTTAAACCACTTCTTTATAAAACCAGACTAGAAAGTAAACAAGACCCAAATGAACAAAATTACGATTTTGAATGTAAATACATAAAAAACCTTAAAAATCAATTTGTAATTTGTCCACTTGATAAATGTCGCGGATTGGGCCCCCAGCTCCCAACGTCAGTGGTATAATTGCTCTCCTGCATCGGCGAGGGGAGCCAGGGGTCCGCACCGTGAATAAGTGAACCATACAATGTGTGGTGGCTACCTGTGAGACGCTCGTTGTGCCTGCCACGTGGGTACTCCTTACGCTCTTAGGGGCCCTTGCCACCAGCCTGCTTAGTAGCGACTCGACACCTGCGACGTGGCTGCCTCCAGCCATCGGCCATTGGGGTGCGTATGCATAACCGTGGCACTTAACTAGTATTGTGCCAGCCTTCCTACGAATCTTACCCTCTAGGCATGATTACGCAATGCACATAACCACAAATGACAGAAATATAAACGGAGCCACAGTCGTGCTGTGGCCACCGCTCCACACACATCACACCTGCAAAGTGCCCACCATTTATCCGCAATAAAATCCCTACACTCAAACACAAAGGATGAGCAACAACCAGCCAGATGTTACCTAGGGGCCGGCAATAACGGAAACCCCCCGAGGCGGTGTCGCCGGCGTGTGCCAGGTGCGATCGCGCTCGGGGTTACCTCGTAGCGTGGGAGCCAGTCCTCTGTGGCGTAGATGGAAGCACGCGAGAGTTGGGGTAGCGCTGGATCGATCGATAGTTGAGACGAATTGGAAACCCGACCGCTCACTGTGACGGCAGCTGCGAAGACTGACTACGTGACTTATGCGAAAGCTGCACAGGTAAGAGAGGTGAGAGGCGGGACAGCGCGAGGACGGCGTTTCAGGACCCCTTCGCACCGCGGCGGCGGCCTCCTTTGAAGGAAGTCGCGAATCCGCGACACTCCGGGCAACACGAAGAAAAAAGAAGGGGTCCGAGGTAGTTTCCGATCTGCCATGTTACCTACGACCCTACGAGTCAAACATACAAGCAAACCTACGAGTCAAAAATCCCTAGGTGGAACGCGGGACCTACGCCTGTCGTGGTAACAGCCAGTTGTTCTCGGGGGTAAGCGTGAAGAGTCGTCGGGGGCTCTACTCTGGATACTGGCGGGTCTTCGGCGGTTGCGTAGTCGACAGTTGCGTTGACGGAAGTTGAGGCGACCATTGACGGCGATCGGCTCGACATTTGCGGCATCGACAGCTTGAACGGCGACCATGGAACTCGGCGTTGACGTGGATGTTCGGCTTGACGTTGACGTTGACAGCGGCTCGACATGGATGACGTTGAAGTGACGATGAAGATCAAAAAGTTTTAATTTACCTACGGGCGCATTTTTTCACGCCAGGGGGAATAAATTTTTGTGAGGGGGAGATTTTCCTCACCAAGCACAAGAACCCAGGGCCAAGTCAAAGTTGCAAAAGAAGGGGAAATCCCAAAAACCAAAAAGTTAACACGGTCTCCCACCGTGACCCCAAAAGTCGTGAGTTGCGGCTATAGTCACATGTGTCAACGTATAATGGGGATCATTGCTGCCGATCCTGAATCAAGGTTAACAACAACGACGAAGGGCGAGCTTAAGGCTCTTACCCAAAGGAAATAAAAGAAATAAAAAAGAAATAAAGAAGTAAAAAGGAATCGTAATTGGGGTGTAAACTTTCAAACTTACCTGCGGGAGCTCGATCTTATGCTCCACACTCCTTCCTCGGACTTGCTAGCTCACTTCGAGAATGGGCCATGGCAATCCATGCTCGGGGTGAGGGGCGACGAAGCAATAAGATGGAATTGGCTAGCCTGAACATGGCTTCGAACGTCCGTGATCACGAGAAAGAAGAAGGCTGCTGAAAGTAAACAGTTATAATATAAATGTGATAACGCAAAGTGTGAGTGGATGTCTGTGGGCAGAACGAAGCTGCTGCAGAACGGCAGTAGGCCTGCGAGGTATCAATGGGGTGAGTTGCTTGGGGTACGAGACAACCTACGCACCCAATTCGGATCCCTATAGCGTCTTCGGTGGCGTCGACGTCTGGACGTTCCCGTTGAAGATGGAATCTGTGGCGATGGTGTTCTACGATGTGTGGGCGAAGGAGAAACATGTGGGGATTCTCTGACTGGTACGGAACGTACGGGTCGAGATGGGGATTGTGTATCCGATCGTGGGGTAGCATCTAGTCTGCTGCGATATCCTCTATGTTCGCGCGGATGATAGTGATGATCACGAGAATAGTCTCGGGATCTTCTGCTATCCCGTGCTGGATCTTCAAAATCCGAGGATTCTCCAGGTTGATCGTCTCCTTCCGCAGCTGGCTGCCTCTCCGATGACGAATCAGACGAACTAGATGAGCTAGACGCCTGATGACGTTCTCGGGTACAATCCTCCTCTTCCGCGAGCCTACAGAGAAGTCGATGGTGTTGACCTCCACACTCCTTGCAAAATGGATAGTCGCAATCGCCTTGGGAATGTCCTTCTCGAAGACACTTCAAGCATAGTCGCAGAAGATGTGCGATCTTAAGACGCACACCAACTGGCATACGCTCGTCGCAACTGCGAGAAGAGTGCGAAAGGGAATCACAAAAACAACATGCGGGATCATGCAATGATCTGGGAGATGTAGACGTTAATGGACGTCCTGGGGAAACATCTCTATTGAGAACGTAATTACGACTGCGGGAGCAAGTCTGCTCAAACCTCTCCTTTGACTGAATAAGGTCATCGAGGTGAGACATGACTTGTCGAAGATCAAAATCGGCTCGTTTCTCGAACTCAACGTTGTTAAGTCGCTCCTGAATTGACAGGGGGAACTTAGTACGTACGAGATCGATGATGTAAAGAGCACGATTCAGATCCTCGAAACGCGTAAGGGCATGAAGGATACCCTGAATCCGGAACCAAGTGTTTCGCATATCCGAAGCTGATTCGGTTGCGGGCTGAAGATCTCGGAGCTGCTGATGGAACAGCGCTCTGGTCCTCCTCGGGCAGTCGTATCGCTTCTTCAATGCTTGCACTAAGTGATGGTAGTTGTTCCGTCCTGGTTCAAGATCCTGCAACACCACTTGGGCTTCTCCCCTAAGCAAATTCATGAGGTAGAGATATTTCATATTGAGGTCGATGTTGGGGTCGTTGTGAACAGCTAGCTCAAACGTGCACCAAAACTGCTGGAACTTGGTGACATCTCCATCGAAATGCGGCAACGTTAACTTCTCCAGATGGATCGGTACGTTGTGCGACGATGGGGCAGTTTGTGCGGATGTAAGCTGAAGATGTTCTAACTGCTGTGCAACGTCCAACTGGGCTTCTACAGCTTGAAGCTGTGGGGCATCTGTGCGATCTTGTCGCTGGGGCGTCATCACTGTTCCTGTCGTCTCCGTAGTGGCGTCCTCACTGATGGAATTAGCGAGTCGATGGATACGAAGAGACTCAGAGCGTTCACTATCCGCTTCCTGCGTACTCTGCAAGGTGCGGAGGAGTGCTTCAGCGTCTGCCAGATGTTGATCCACGCTGTGCTCTTCCTCGAACCTGCTGTACGCCTGCTGATCTGTCGGCGAGCTGGAGGTAGTAATGTGGTACAGGAGTACGTCACGACGATCACGCAGAAGCGAAAGTGCGGATCTCAGACTCACTATGGAGAGCTGTGTGGCTGCCTGACGGTGCTGGAGCTGATGGAGTTGCTCCGCAACTGGGGCGTCAGACACATACGGAGTAAGCAAATCGGAACTTACCTGTTTCCTAATCGTCTCCAGGTCCTCGATGGCTTTGACGACCTTGGGGATGTAGGATTCGACGGTGTTCATATCGATCGATAGCGCACTGACTCGAAAGCTTGCAGGAGGTAGTAACTGCCAAACCCAAATTCTGAAATTGTGCTACATGAGTATGCTTGACGAGGGGTGACTACTTGCGGATGTAGTCACACAAAAA